ACGACTGTTAGCACAGGAACATATCAATGTAATACCTGCATATTTCTTCATTAGTTGTCAGATAAACCACCTTTCTGAGCACTTAACATGCATGGATAATAGCAAGTCTTCTCGACGCTTGTCTTGTAAATCGCAGAGGTATGCAATATACACGCTGCTGTCAGGAGACCATCGGGGTTGGCCGCCCTCAAGATTCTTTAACTGTTGATCCAACCTATTACCAGCAGAAAGGAAAAACAGTGGAAAAACCAAAACTTTGGTTGAAATTATACGTTTGGTTTTGCATTACTTTGCAGTGCGATTGGCAAACAAAACTTGCCCTGACAACCAACTAAAATATCAATAACGACTTCCACGTTTAACTGCATGGAATTGTCCATAATTCTGATTGCTCGATTGCCTGATTGTCTGTTTACTTGTATGATTAGCTATTTGTAGATTTTTTGGCTGGTAATAAGTACTTTGCTTTGTTTTGGTGGACCTCATTTGAAAACCGTTTTAATATCCTTACGTAAAGATCATTAGTTCCCAGACCAGGGGAGTAAATATAGCAGAATCCAAAAGATGGTTCATACCTGTCAAGCTGATCGGTCAATATATTCCAAGGTTCGGATTCCGGGAAAAATTTTTGCAGGTTTGTTCTTTTAATGAACAGTTTGAAAAATTCAGAAGACAAGTATCAGAGAAAGTCAGGACAAATGACAGAAAGTGATGGACCAAAAAGTAAGACATTTCCTGTAAAATTCAGAAACGAAAATTTGGGTAAACATTATATGAAAACCAGATTCCCATGCTTCTCCATACCTTACACAGAAAAACTGCTTCAACTTGTCCGGGTAATTATCTGGTGATGAGCCTTCAAATAAGAAAACGTAAAATCATAAAGAACCTGCAACTGTTTAAGTAACTTGCGGGTGACCTTTCTGAACTTCAGTTGTGGTACGATAATTTCCTCTTAAGCACTTCAAAAAATTTATCAAACTATAATCAAAAGATAAGGGAGGAAAAATACAATGGAAGTCATTCATTTGTCATGATTATTTTTAGTCGTTAAAGGTGAACCATTCCAAAGAAGATCACA